CCACCAAAGGAAGAACCTCCCAAAGAGCAACCATCAAAGGAAGAACCTCCCAAGGAGGAGTCACCAAAGGAAGAACCACCCAAGGAGGAGCCACCAAAGGAAGAACCTCCTAAGGAGGAACCACCAAAGGAAGAACCTCCCAAAGAGCAACCATCAAAGGAAGAACCTCCCAAGGAGGAGCCACCAAAAGACGAACAACCCAAGGAGGAGCCACCAAAGGAAGAACCTCCCAAAGAGGAACCACCGAAGGAAGAACCACCCAAGGAGGAGCCACCAAAGGAAGAACCTCCCAAAGAGCAACCACCAAAGGAAGAACCTCATAAGGAGGAGCCACCAAAAGAAGAACCATCCAAGGAGGAGCCACCAAAGGAAGAACCTCCCAAAGAGGAACCACCCAAGGAGGAGCCAACAAAGGAAGAACCTCCCAAAGAGCAACCATCAAAGGAAAAACCTTCCAAGGAGGAACCACCCAAAGAACAGCCTCCTAAGGAGGAACCACCCAAAGAACAGCCTCCTAAAGAAGAGCCACCAAAGGAAGTACCTCCCAAAGAGGAGTCACCTAAAGAACAGCCTTCTAAGGAGGAGCCACCCAAGGAGCAACCTCCCAAAGAAGAGCAACCAAAGGAAGCACCTCCCAAAGAGGAGTCACCTAAAGAACAGCCTTCTAAGGAGGAGCCACCCAAGGAGCAACCTCCCAAAGAAGAGCAACCAAAGGAAACACCTCCTAAAGAGGAGCCACCTAAAGAACAGCCTCCCAAAGAGGAACCACCCAAAGAAACTCCCACACCAAAACCATCTCCCGAACCAGTTGCTAGCCCCCCTGAAATAGTTGAAGAAGGACCATCACCACCTGAGCCTACCACTACAAGTCCTAGGGTTCCAGTTCATCCTCCCCCTCCAGCACCTGTAACAATGCCACCATCGCCTGAACCCACAGGGCAAAGTCCTGTAGTTTCAATCCACCCTCCTCCTCCACCAATTCACTCTCTTCCACCACCAATCAATTCACCCCCACAACCAGTCAATTCACCCCCATCACCAGTGCAATCACCTCCCCCACCAGTCCATTCTCCACCACCACCAGTCCACTCTCCTCCATCACCAGTCCATTCTCCCCCACCCCCAGTTCTCTCTCCCCCACCTCCAGTCCATTCTCCACCATCACCGGTTCACTCTTCTCCACCCCCGGTCCAATCACCCCTACCACCAGCACCAGTCCACTCTCCACCACCACTAGTCCACTCTCCTCCACCCCTGGTCCACTCTCCACCACCACCAGTCCAATCACCCCCACCACCAGCACCAGTTCACTCTCCTCCACCCCCAGTCCAATCACCCCCACCACCAGCACTAGTCCACTCTCCACCACCACCGGTCCACTCTCCTCCACCACCAGTCCACTCTCCACCACCAGCACCAGCACCAGTCTACTCACAGCCACCTCCAGTCCAATCACCACCACCACCTACCCAGTCTCCACCGCCTCCAAAAAACTCTCCTCCCCCACCTTCTCCTTCTCCTTCACCTCCTCCTCTCGTAGTCTCATCACCCCCTCCAGTAGATGACTTTGTCTTGCCACCAACCTTTGGCTCCCAATACTCATCTCCACCTCCACCAATGTTCCAGGGCTACTAAGCATTATGATATCAACCTTCATAACCTACATGACTTTATTTATAAATATTTACAATCTCAAAGAAATACACCACTTTTGTTAGTTTACCATAGCTTGTTGTATAATTCATGACATCAAAGTGTAAATGCTTTTCATATGCCTACTTAATGCAATAAAGGACATTATCAGCAAATAATTCCATAATTTGTATTTTTCTTTTGGTTGTTTTTTAATTGAATGTGTTGCTTTATCAATTTGGGACTCAGCTTTGGTGCATGTTTTTAATTAAGGCGATACTTCCTTGTATGATCAAAATATTTTTCTATACATCTTTGTTAAGTTTTGTTTAGCCAATGTTTGTAGCTTTCCTTAACAAACATGTAATCTCATATGTATGATCAAGCTCAAAGAATTTAGGCTAGTTCAAGTTAGTGCTAAGTTGACTACTGTAGCTGAGATCAACTTCATAATTACCCAATGCAATCAAGCTCAGTGAAGGTAATATCTTTATGTATGCATTGCATGCATTATAGTGTTCTCCTGCATGCATCATTAGTTGTGATGTATGCAATTCTTCTTAGCTATCTTTAGAAATTAGGACTTGGGTATTTGCTAGAAAGTTGAAGTCCATTGAAGAGTTTTTGAGGTTACAAAACCAAGATAATTTTTGCATTCATTTATAATGGGCATCATTAGGAAAATCAGCATCTGCATCACAATAATTTGTCTAGATGACCAGTCATATAGGCCAATATTTCCAGCACTGGATTTTTAACCAAGGCACGTGATTTTGCTTATTATAAGTCCAATCATTGGTTGCCAAGTGTCCTTTTGACCCATCAAAAAGGCTGGGGCTGGTATGGACTCACCAAATCTCTCATTTTACATTTTTCATATGCGTTTTTAGAGAGAGTTCTAGTGAGAGATTGTGCATAAAGTAGGTTTTACTTTTGGAGAGTAGAGTTCATGGGTTCTTGAATTCTTTTTGGGCTTTCATTGAAATTTCATTTCTCAAACTTTTGTCAGTAATACGAAGTTTTCATCTATCATCTCTTTCATTTTCACCATTTTATAAAACTTTGTTTTCTTTTTAGTTTGTCTGAGAGTGTTCACGACATAGAAATGAGTTTTCAATATTTCATTTTGAAAGCTACTTCTTTTTTAGAAAATCTGACCATAGCTTTGCATATCAAAGTTTTAATCTCTCATCTCTTTCATTTGCACCATTTTGGAAAACTTGGTTTTCTCTTTGGTTTGTCTGAGAGTGTTCATGGCTTCTGGAAACGAGGTCTTCAAATAGCTTTTGAAATTTGCTTCCATTTTCGAAATCCACTTCACCCATTGAGATTTTTTAGAGTAAAACTTTTACTTTGCATTCTCTACTTTGTGAGGTTTGGATTTTCATTATTAGATTTTGAAAATTAGTTTTTGAAATATACTGTGGTTTTTGAAATTTGCATCTAGGGTTTAGTTTAAACACTTCATCATCCTAGCTAGATTAGATTCTCTGTTGATTTCTTCAAGAGGATGATTTCTTGAAGAAATTGACCATTTCATTATAGAATCTATATTTCATTTATCGGTTATTTCATTTATCGGTTACGATCCGAAGCTGAGTTGCGGTGCTATGGGGTAAAGAAGTTGATGGACTGGCTGCCATTTCCATGAAGGACAAGCTACTAGCTCAACTAAGTTCGGAGAATAAGGTTGCACAGGGAGATAGTGCTTATTTCCTAAATAGATCTAGGATTGTTTGAGCTTGTGATTACTTTTTCTATAATAATCTTCTTCACTTAGTGGATTGCCTGGTCGGAGTGATGACCTGCAATTTTTCCCAATGGTTGGTTTCTGGGTGAACATTTCTGGTGTTGTGTTCTTGATTTTATGATTAGTCATACTATATCTGTTACCTCTGAAATGCTAATGAATGTTCACACACCTTTCACTCTAGTTGTTGCTAGTACATGAGATGCCTAGATTGGCGGGTCCTTCTGAGATGCCTAGGTTGTCATATAGTTCTCTTTTAGGCTTGAAGGTTTTAACATTTGATTTGTGGTAAGTATGTGCTGGGCTTGTTTGTTCATAGGTATATGACTAGTAATTGACTAGTCATATTGTTACTAGGAGCAATATGATTGTTGTCTTAAATCTATCTATTGGGATTTTAATTTACTCACTTCACCTAAGTACCAATTTCAATTTGCTTGTTATTATCTTCTTTCTTTTTTTGCTTAAAAGGCTAGTTCCTATAATTCAAAACCCTAGCCGCTCTCTCCATGTATAAGTTCTAAAGGAAAACTCCATAGAGGGGGGAGGAGGAAGAAGCGTCACTGCCCCTCCTCCCCCTCCTCTATTCTCGTCTTTTCCTTTTAGGTTAGTGAATAAGTCCACTATGGCATTTTGAAAAAAAGGCCCCTTGTGGTGGTTTCTTTTGAGCCATGGTTAGATTGAAGTTCCCCATCACCCCTTTTAGTCTATGTTCTCAATCAAATCCTGCTCCCAAAACCTACTCCCTGACGTCGCTCATGTTCTCTAAATTTGATTCTACATCGTCTTTGACTAAGGTTGCTGCAAATTACCCAATTGTTGTTTGACAAAGTTGTTGTTTTCATTTATTTGTTCGCTCTTATGCGCATGTAGATCGTTGGAAATCATATTTTCCTCAAATCTATTACGGATGCGATGGTGGGTGTGGCCGTGACATTGCTTCATCAGGTGGTGGTGGTAGGGTTCGTCTAGACTCATGGATTATTTTAGGGTTTTGGTTATGTTGGGTTTGTGGGCTTTGTTTGGGCTTATGGTTAATTATGGTGATATGGGCTAGTAGTTTTAGTGCGGGTTTTGTCCACATTACTTGTGTTTTTAGCATGTTAGTTTGTTGCCCTTTTGGAATTGGTGTTTTTGATATCTTATTGACGTTTTTGATTGTACAACTGAAGTTTATCTAATGAAGTTTCTATTTGATAAAATAAAAAATAAAAAAAAAAGAGTACCAATTTCAATCTTTAAGAATAAAACCTTAACTCGTACACCAAGTGAACCAACATGTACAATCCAGTCCAACTCAAATTTGCTTAGTTTGTAGATTTTACACTTCCACCCAATTTAGGATTAAATCCAATCCAATCCAATCCTTTTCATATGCCTAAAGGGGTAACTTGATGTGTGGCTGTGATTGGATTTGGAAGAAGAAGGCGTTGGAGCCATTAATACAATTAAAGATTCAAGATCAGTTGCAGACAGATCTTGAAGATGGGGCGATGAGAGAGAGAGAGAGAGAGAGATAAAAGTGGAAGAGTTTTGGAAAGGAAATGAAGACAAAAAGAATGAAATTTCAAAATGAGGGCTCTTAGAATTCTATTCAAAATTTGAAACAAAAATCTAGCCGTTATGATTTGTAACGTCTAGTTTTCTTATTTTGTTTCTTCTTCTTGTTTCATATTTTCCTTCATAGTAAATTTAGGTTTTAGTCAAAAAAAAATTTCACTTATGGAAAAAGCCAAAGCTTTTTCAAAAAAGACAGAAAAACCTCTCAACTTTCAAATCAAAGACATGCAAATGTAAAGAATTCCTTAGGAAATCCAAAAATAAATAAGGGCAATTTTGTCCATTTTGGCTTATTTTACAAAATTTCTCTCTCTTTTGTGTTTTTCCAAAGTCTCCCTTTTTTCTTTTTGTCCTTTCAAAAATTGAATTGTGAAAGGTGGGTCAAGTCATTTCACATTGGGCAAACCCGTACCTTTTAAAAAGTAGATTTCATAACGTGAGTTCTTTTTGGGAACATTTTCTTCGTCATTGTTTTCTTCTACTTCATTTTTGCCCCAAAGAGATACAAGTTTCCTAGCTACTATATTAAAAGTGACAGCATAATATGAAATTTCTAAGGTTTAACTTTGACCATAATATGTTATCTTTTGAGGTGCCCTTTGTGAAAATCCCACGTCGAAAATCTACACTCCTATAAAGGTGTTTATAAACAAAGCACTATGATGGTTTTGTAAGTGTGGTTAATATTGGAGAGTTGGGCTAATGGACTAGGCTATAGCCCCAGCTTTGGATTTGGCTTTCATTAATAATAATTATATTAATCAAAGACTTGGGGAGAGGTTGTTTTCTTAGTTTGCTATTCACCGGGTATAGCTGCGCAGCTATGTTTTTAAAATGTTCTATTTTGGAGTATAGCCGTGCGGCTATACTTTTTTATTATTTATTATTTATTATTATTTTAATATGTTTATATTTTAAAATATAAAATTATATTCTTTACTTTTGTATTTTGGCCAACTTCTTTAATTTAATACATGTAATTAAGTAATACCTTAACCTTTTTTTAATTACTTTAATTAGTAATTATGTTTTAATTATTATTTCTTTAGTGAATATTTAAATATTTTACTAATTTCATAAATTACTTGGTAAATACTAATTAATTGTTTTGAATTATTTTGTGGACTTTGTTTTTTGTTCTTTGATATTAAATAATCATTAAAATACGTTCATATGTGTACAATACGTGTATTATACGTTTGCTTTTATTATACCGAGTCTTTAAGACGTATACGAAAAATGAAAGTATTATTAAAAAATATGTATGTACATATATAATACGAGTATCAAATGAGAAAATGCTAAATCTTTATACGAGTAATAACTTTGGAAAAGTAAAAAATTAAAAGGGGACAATAGCTATACCTTGGTAATGGCCTAAACGTAATAGATAATACTCTAGACTAGTCTTATAAATACCATAATCTGAATTTCTCTTTTTTAATTACTTATGTTTTAATTATTGTTTACTTAGTGAATAATTAGTTTTTAAGAATTTTATTGACCTAAAGATAATAAGTTTATATTTATTCTTTTTTTAAAAACCTCTCCAGACGACATTTCGTCGATTGATGTAAATTTTGTCAGGAGAGATTGTTTTCTTAGTTTCCAAATCACATGGCAATATTTTTAAAATATTCTATTTTGGTGTATAGCCATACGGCTATATTGTTCAAATTTATTTTTATATTTTTATATTTTTTATATTTTTATATTTATAAAACAGTATAGCCGCACAGCTATACCTTTAAAATATTCTATTAATAGGAATTCTAGATCCTCAGTTGAAGCGACTGTTGTCCGTGTTTGTCAGTTTGAAGAGAAAAAACTCCTCTGAGTTTGGGCAACAAGCAAAGAGGGTTACTCTAGGGGCCCGTTTGGTTCATGGGAAAGGAAGCTTGGGAATGAGAATTCAATTGCTATATCATGTTTGGTAAATCCAAGGATGGAAAATGGTTGCCTGACACATGAAAAGTAAGGAAAAAGTGAAGCCCTCCTCTTAACTTGGGTTTTGTTTTCCCTACTCATGGGAAAGTTTGGGAAAATGAACAGATAAGAGTTTAGGCTAACTTACAAGTGTGCTGATGGTTGAGGATTGGAATGACCTTCATCCGTGATGTCCAAAGATTCGAGCGGGGGTCGGATCCGAGCCGAGGAGAGGATACCGGTGTGGTACCTGCTGAAGGCACTCCGATGCCAAAGTTAATAACTAAGAGCAATTCTATTGATAGTGGAAGCACTAGTCAAGTCAGAAAGTTGGCTGGGCCAAGGGACTCTATTTATAGAGAGCATTTGTGATGCTCTTAGCACTTAGTTTCGATGTGGGACTCGTGGGAGTGTCTTCGGAGATCGACACGTGCTCTGACAAGTTCCAGCAGAAGTTCTGAGGTAATCTGACAGAAATGGATTGACGTTATGATTGGTTGCTAGGCAAACCATGCCGAAGGTTAGCGAAGGGAATGATGGTGCGTAATCGACCCCCTGAATCGGTACAGCGTGCCGAACGCACATTCGGTATGGCCCGGTTGAGCTGGTCTTGGCTGACGGTGTTCCACATGTCACGACGTGGGTGGGTGGTCAGATATGGTACAAACATGAGCCAACATTCAATGCACAATTTTCATGACTATTTTGTCCCTATGAACAATTTATAATTACAACATATCATTAAATACATTCTTTTTTTATTTGATTTAATATAGGTGTAATTGGAAAATTATACAAACTTTGTTTTCCATTCATACTCAAAACAAACATGGAAAAGGAAACAAAGTGAAATCTCTCGGTTATTTTCCCAACATTACCAAATGTGGGAAATGAATCTTTCATTCCTATTCCTTGGGAAATTACATGGGAAATGATTTCCCCTTAAATCTATTCCATGAACCAAACGGGGCCTAGGTGTTTGTTTGAAGGGAAAGGTGAATACTTTTTCTTCTCCTTCTGGGTAATTTGGCGGTAAAAAGAGTGAGTGTTTGTTTGTTTAAAGAGAAAAAAGTTATCTTCCTGGTATTTTGACAGAAAATCAAGGCGAATTGCGAAGAAGACGAGGCCCTCTCTCTCTAGTCTGTCTCTTTTTACATAATTTTGTTCTATATTAGGTTAATTACTGTGTAAACAAAAGTAGATTTACTTTTCTTCTTCTTCTTTTTTTAAAAAAATAAAAGTTTTACATTTCCTTTTGGACCCAAAAATACAAACCCATCAAATCTAAATTATTCATGTGATTTGTACATTAATAAAAAAAATTACATGATTTTTTAAAATTAGATAAAATAGGTTTGAGGATAAAAATAGAAAAATGATTCTATTAGAAGAATAAAAACTTAGTGCAGGAGCATAATATTGTATTATTTATGAAGGGAACTTGATTAGTACATGTCACAATTTGGATGGAGGGGTAATGCTAGTATGCTACACCTTGGTTTAAAATGACGAACAAATTTGCACTTAATCTTATTTTTTCATATAAAGAAAAACATGAATGAATCAAATAAATGCAGTTGAGGATTTAATACACGAACAAGGCTTAGTGCTAGGGATGGAATTAGAGGTATACTTTAAATATTCTAATTGCCTTTAAGCAGACATACATTGTTGGTCTTAGTGTTGGTGAGATGGATTAGTTAATAAGATTTGCCTTCCTTAACATACTGTACAACAATCCAACTAAATATGCGTTGCCTAATTTTAAAGAGCCAGAGAGGCACACAACTCAAGTTTGCAAATCCTGCTGAGAAATTCTTGCACAGCCTCTCAAATAAACCAACCAAACAGACCTTTCCTCTCAATATAATCTCCCTTGCTCCCCCTCTCCTCCTCATCAGCCTTGGGCCTAATAACCCAAACAATGAAGGCTGCCTATTTTCTAGTTTTCTTTTTTCTCTTCTCCTCCTTCTCATCTTTCTCTTCTGCTCTAACTGATGCTGAAGCGTCCTTCGTTGCCCATCGCCAGCTCCTACATTTTCACGCAAGCTATGACCTGCGCGGCGACCATGAATATGAAGTTGAGTTGAACTTAAAGTTTCCACATCCCAGGCTTAGAAGTGCATACGTTGCACTTCAAGCTTGGAAAAAGGCCATATACTCAGACCCTCTTAAAACTACTGAGAACTGGGTTGGTGCTAATGTTTGTGCTTACACTGGAGTATTTTGTGCCCCGGCTCTTGATGACCCACAGTTAGAGGTTGTGGCTGGCATTGACATCAACCACGCAGACATTGCAGGGTACCTTCCTGTTGAATTAGGCATGTTGAGTGACATTGCCGTGTTCCACATCAACACGAACAGGTTCTGTGGTATCATCCCTAAGAGCTTTGCTAGGCTAACTCTTCTCCATGAGCTCGACGTTAGCAACAACCGCTTTGTGGGATCGTTCCCAGAGGTGGTCCTGCAAATTCCAAACCTCAAGTACCTTGACCTCCGGTTCAATGACTTTGAGGGGAAATTGCCTCCTGAGCTCTTCAACAAGGAATTGGATGCCCTGTTCTTGAACAACAACAGGTTCACATCCACCATCCCTGACACTCTGGGCAACTCCCCCATCTCTGTTCTCGTGGTCGCAAACAATCATCTCGAGGGCTGCATCCCTAATAGCATTGGAAAGATGGTAAACAATTTAAATGAGGCCATCTTCTCCCACAACAAGTTTGCTGGGTGTTTACCTCCTGAAATTGGGTACCTCTCAAACGTGACTGTGTTTGATGTTAGTTCAAACACATTGAGTGGGCTCCTGTCCAAGACTTTCAAAGGCCTTGAGAAGGTGGAGGAGTTGAACATTGCACACAACATGCTAACTGGGTTTGTTCCCGAGAGTCTCTGCAAGTTACCTAGCTTGGGAAATTTTACGTTTTCCTACAACTACTTCAACGGCGAGGATCAGAAATGTGTGCCATCTTCTCGGATGGACACACTGTTTGATGACACAAGCAACTGCTTACCAGATAGGCCTAAGCAGAAGTCAGCAAAACAATGTCAAGTTGTGGTGAACAAGCCAGTGGATTGTGGCAGGGCAAAGTGCGGAGGTGGATCAGGACCTTCAAAACCTTCTTCGCCTGCACCCAAGGAGGAGCCACCCAAACAACAGCCTCCCAAAGAGGAACCACCCCAAGAACAACCGGCCCAAGAAGAAACTCCCACACTAGAGCCACAACTACCTAAACCAGAGCCATCTCCGGAGCCAGTTCCAGAGACTCCAGAACCAGTTGCTAGCCCCCCTCAAGTGGTTGTAGCACCATCACCACCCCCACCCACACCCACAAGGCAAAGTCCTATTGTTCCGATTCGCCCTCACTCACCACCAATTCACTCTCCACCACCACCAGTCAACTCACCCCCACCACCTGTCCACTTTCTTCCAGCACCCGTAGCAACACCGCTATCGCCCACACCCACACCCACACGACAAAGTCCCATCGTTCCAATTCGACCCAACTCAGCACCACCTCCAGTCAACTCACCCCCACCACCTGTCCACTCTCCTCCACCACCCGTAGCAACATCGCCATCGCCCGCACCCACACGACAAAGTCCTATTGTTCCAATTCACCCCGACTCACCACCACCCCCAATCAACTCACCCCCACCACCTGCCCACTCTCCTGCACCACCCGTAATAACACCACCATCGCCAGCACCCATAGGGCAAAGTCCCATTGTTCCAATTCGACCTAACTCACTGCCACCCCCAATCAACTCCCTTCCACCACCACCCGTAGCAACATCACCATCTCCAGCACCCACAGGGCAAAGTCCTACTATCCCACACTCACCACCTGTGAACTCATCCCCACCACCAGTCCACTCTCCTCCACTGCCGGCTTCACCCACCAGGCAAAGTCCTATTGTTCCAGTTCACTCTCCTCCACCCCCAGTCTACTCACCACCACCACCATCAATTCACTCTCCTCCACCACTAATCAACTCTCCACCACCACCACCAATCTCCTCGCTCCCACCACCAGTCCAATCGCCTCCTCCACTGGTCCACTCTCCACCACCACCTGTTCACTCACCTCCTCCACCAGTTCACTCTCCACCACCACCAGTCAACTCACCCCCTCCACTAGTCCACTCACCTCCTCCACCAGTGCATTCACCTCCACCTCCAGTCCAATCTCCACCTCCCCCAGTCCACTCTCCTCCACCACCATTCAACTCACCCCCACTACTAGTCCACTCTCCACCACCCCCAGTCCACTCTCCTCCACCACCAGTCAACTCACCCCCACCGCCAGTCCACTCTCCACCCCCCCCAGTCCACTCACCCCCACCCCCAATCCACTCTCCCCCACCCATTAGGAAGTAGGAGTTACCATTCCGCTCTAGATTTTATACTGCTTCCGGACTCGCTTCGCTCGCTGCGAGCCTATTTGTCTGAAGTACCGTTCGACTCCTGTAGGGGAGTCTCACTTGCTTTCAGTTTACTCTTCAACGGAGGAAGTTAGAGTTACCTATCTTGTCTCTTGCCCCCGGGGGGGGGGCGCCCCCCCCCCCCCCCCCCCCCCCCCCCACCCCCCTCCCCCCCCCCCCCAGCCAACCCCCCCCCACCGCCAGTTCACTCGCCTCCTCCACCAGTGCATTCACCTCCACCACCAGTTCACTTTCCACCACCACCAGTCCACTCTCCTCCACCACCAATCAACTCGCCCCCACCACCAGTACAATCTCCTCCACCTCCAGTTCACTCTCCACCACCCCCAGTTAACTCTCCACCACCACCAGCACCGATCTACTCACCGCCACCTCCAGTCCAATCACCACCACCACCCACCCAGTCTCCACCCCCTCCAGAAAACTCCCCTCCACCACCTTCTCCTTCTCTTTCACCTCCTCCTCCTGTTGTCTCATCACCCCCTCCAGTAGATGACTTTGTTTTGCCACCAAACTTCGGCTCCCAATACTCATCTCCACCTCCACCAATGTTCCCAGGTTACTAAGCATTATGACATCAGACCCTTCAAAAAGCAACTGTTTTTAATTTTATATATATATATATATATATATAAATTATACAATCTCACATAAATGCACCCACTATTGTTAGTTGATCATAGCTTGTACTTCATGACATCAATCAAAGTGTAAATCTTCTTTCATATGCCCACTTAATGCAATAAAGGAAATTTTACATTAATTGATATTTTGCTTTTTTGCTTTGTTTTAATATTCTGTTTGATGTGCATGAATGAAACTCCCATCAAATCATATCCAACCACAAATTTTAATATAATTAATAATGGTACAAATAATGGAATGCGAAGGCCATGTACATAGTTCTAATTTTAGATATCTGATTTTGAGTATGAATCTGATGATTTGACTATTGAGAATCAAAATTTATTGTATACAAATCCTGGACAGACGATGAGGAAGAGGTCGTCCCTCTTGCATCCGATAAATAAATGAGGCTTTGAGTCTCACACCAACTCTGTTGAACACTCAGATTAGACTCATCTCTTAAGGACTTAAACCTCATTTCATCACAATAAATACTCGGATTTATGTTCAGTTCATGAACAATGGCTCGGCCCTCAAGCATGCTCACCACTGCAGACATTGTAGGTCTTAGCGCTGGTGATGGATTAGTGCAGAGTAGAGCTACCTTAATCATTCTCATTGCCTCTTCCTTGTTGAACTCAGACCCCAACTTTGGATCCACCAGCTCCATCAGATTTCCTTTCTGTTGCAAAACAAACGCCTGCGACATCCAAAAAGGAAATAGATGGAAAAATAAACTTTCTTGATTGTTGTTATATATATGTATATATGTATATTGTTTAGAAAATTTTGATGTCAGTACTGAAGAGAAATTGAAAGTAGAACATCATTTGCAACTTGCAACATAAAAAAGTTCATTTTCCTGATCAGAAAGTGTAGGGTAACACAAAGCTGGATGACGAATATGTCAAATGGAAAATAGTTCCTACTAACTCATCTACTAAACAAAATGCAGTAAGATCTTACCCAATCAAGAAGGCAGACATAATTCTCGTTTGGCTGATATTTGATGTTGTTTTTGCCAGATACAAGTTCCAGTGCAACAACCCCAAAGCCGTAAACATCTACTTTATCAGTTAAATGGCCCCATAATGCATATTCTGGCGCCATGTATCCTCTACAAAACAAATGGGAAGAGTGTTTTATCATTATGATCAAATATAAAAAAAATCAAATTTGGAAGATAAAAATCAATTAGGGTTCCACAATGAAGAAAAGAGAAAGAGAAGGGAAGGTTTGCTCACATAGTTCCAGCTACTCTGGTACTAATGTGACTCTTCTCCTCTTCATTCAGCTTGGCCAAACCAAAGTCAGAGATTTTAGGGTTCAGGTCCCTGTCAAGCAGTATATTGGTAGTTTTGATGTCTCTATGAACAATTTTGAGTGTTGACTCCTCATGCATGAAAGCCAGACCTCTTGCAATGCCTACGCATATTTTCTGCCTTGTAGGCCAATCCAGTTTCAGTATACCTTTCTCTTGACCTGAATTCAAACGTAACCTCTCAAATAAGATTCATTCATCAAACTAGTATTGAACTTATAACATGTTTACCATCCAATTTAAGTTTTCCAGCTTACCAAACAAAGAATGTGCAAGGCTATTGTTCTCCATGTACTCATATACCAACAGTAACTGGTTTCCTTCAATGCAGCATCCGTACAATCTAACAAGATTTGGGTGTTTTAAGGCAGAAATCATGCCTATTTCATTAACAAATTCACGATTTCCTTGCTTCGATTTTGAAGAAAGTTGCTTAACTGCAATAATAGTACCGTCTAATAGTTCTCCCTGCAATTTGAAATAGAATACATTTGAGAAATGTTGCTCATACACAACACTTTTTAGTGTCATAGACCAAAGTCAAAGAAAAACAAAAGGAGAAGTGCTTGCATATTTAGGGGAAACAAAAAGGAGTTGTAGAATACCTTGTAAACAGCTCCAAAGCCACCTTCCCCAAGCTTGTTTGCAGCATCAAAGTTGTTAGTGGCAGCTTTGATTTGTTTGAATCTAAAGAAACCAGTTTGCAGATCTAATCCTCTCAGATCTGTTCATGTGACAAGAGGTTAGCATATTGAACTGATTTTCACTGAGAATTTGAGAGCCTTTTGGCTTATCAGACAACTGGAAAAGAATAACACTGAAAAATCAAGCAACTACAAGAAACATTTATTCTTGCAGATTTCCATATGGACATAACATAACTCAAATTGCCAAGTCTTATTTCCTTTTTTGCACGGTATTCTAGTACCTTGTTCCCTAGTAGATGCCCTGCCTCCGAAGCAGCATCTCAACCAAAGAATGCCAATAGTCATGAAAATAAGACACAACACTGAAACAGCTCCAACCACAATGAATATCTTCTTTTTGCTATCATCAGGCGGTTCGAAATCTAGAAGTGAAAGCAGAGCCAAGAACAGTGATGAACAAGATGGCAGTCAAAATAAAGAGAAAACTTACTACTTAAATTACCTACCAGACTCCACCGAGATAGCAGATATAAGAGAACCATATATTCCTCTTTTCGGAGCATTAGTTGTCCCTTTCCCAGCCCAATGAAAGCGGATCTCTAAAGTCATAACATTGACAACTGCTTTAAATACCTTTATCATTTCCTTATCAACTCCTTGTGCTTCCTTTTGAATATTAAAATCCTTCAATACCAGTTTTTCCTGTAATAATTACTATACTTAATCATTCAAGTTAAAAACTAAGAGCGAGAGGGAGTAATTAAGAAAATTGTTAAGAACATTGGAGGAAGGAAGCCTATGTTGATAGGTGGTTGAGTTTTTAGAGAAAATATGGAGAATAGTTCAGTTTATCCAAATGCTTAAAAAATAAAAATTAACTAACATGGAGAATAGTTATTTATGCTTCGTCTCATTTATGGTGAACATAAAAGGATGACTACCTGGATATAAACATCAAAAATTCGTCTTCCAACGCCGTAATAAGACCTGTTGTTTCTGATAACTATTTCTGCAAAGTGTAGTTTCACAGTGTAATTTCCATTTGCTAAGCAACGGGCATAATATGTGAGAGAAAGAGGAGATATTCGGGCTGTACTGTACAATTCAGAGTTAGTCATATTGAGTATGGAGCTATTTCTTGCTATATACTCTTGGTCATAATTCATAAGCCCAAAATCACCAGTGCTACTAAATCCCCAATTCCCTGTGTCATGAAAAAACTTTGCTCCACCTCCTGAAGCTTCATCACCATCATATTTGATGCTTCCAATGGTGGCTTGTTTTCCACCACAATTTATATGCACCGAATACTGCTCTATAGAGAAAAAACAGCATACAAAAGGTGGAAGACAAATGGACTCAAAACAACATTGTATGTGAAAACAGAAACATACACTTGAGATATTCTACGACAGATTTAGTTACCTTTTGAACATGGATTGAGGCAATGGCTAAGAATCCTACATTGATATATACAAAAAAAGCATAATTAGCTTACGAACAATGAATGAGGAAAAATGAATAAACTCCCTGTGGAACTCATTGAGTTTGAAGCTTACGAGTTGTTCTGCCTGGAAAAACTTTTGAACACATTACTGATGAAAACAACAACCTAGTTACTTTCACATATTTAGATAGCCAAAGATCGCAAAATATGTAAATCTCAAGCAAAGTAAATGAAAAGAAGAAGATATATAAATAATAAAAAAAGATTTAATCTTACAAGTTGTCTTGACATGTAGTTGGGACAGAGTTCTCTGAAAAGTTATTGTAGGAAAGATCTATTATGCTGCATGCAAATTTAAAGTTCTCTATTAACAGAGATTCCAAGAAAAAAGAATATCAGAATATTTTGGTAAAATTTGTAACATGAATGACTGAATTTGCCCAGAACAGAGAGGAAATCATTCAACATTTCAAAGACAGCAGCAAGATAGAAAATTTTGGACTTAACCACTCATCATCAATACAATACCCCAGCCTTCTTATAATCATGAACCTTCAGCCAAAAAGTACTTGTATACATAACCTTATCCATTGTGTAATTTGCCTCATCTTTCGTGTAGCGTTATAATCTGTCTACCAAGTCACTATATTCTTAATCATAGACATTTATCTGTTGAAGCCTCAGAAGCACAGACACAAATTAATGAGGAAAGGTTGCAATCAACATGTAGGTATGCACACTACATGCGTGCTTGTGGTATACATATGATCTGAGTAATCTGAGTAAATGATGGATATAAACAGAACTCTAACCATAAATAAGTAAGATTTAGGAGGCAGAAACATACTAGCGACTATCTCTATATTTGAGGCAATCATTCAACATTTCAAAGACAGCAGCAAGATAGAAAATTTTGGACTTAACCACTCATCATCAATACAATACCCCAGCCTTCTTATAATCATGAACCTTCAGCCAAAAAGTACTTGTATACATAACCTTATCCATTGTGTAATTTGCCTCATCTTTCGTGTAGCGTTATAATCTGTCTACCAAGTCACTATATTCTTAATCATAGACATTTATCTGTTGAAGCCTCAGAAGCACAGACACAAATTAATGAGGAAAGGTTGCAATCAACATGTAGGTATGCACACTACATGCGTGCTTGTGGTATACATATGATCTGAGTAATCTGAGTAAATGATGGATATAAACAGAACTCTAACCATAAATAAGTAAGATTTAGGAGGCAGAAACATACTAGCGACTATCTCTATATTTGAGGCAATCATTCAACATTTCAAAGACAGCAGCAAGATAGAAAATTTTGGACTTAACCACTCATCATCAATACAATACCCCAGCCTTCTTATAATCATGAACCTTCAGCCAAAAAGTACTTGTATACATAACCTTATCCATTGTGTAATTTGCCTCATCTTTCGTGTAGCGTTATAATCTGTCTACCAAGTCACTATATTCTTAATCATAGACATTTATCTGTTGAAGCCTCAGAAGCACAGACACAAATTAATGAGGAAAGGTTGCAATCAACATGTAGGTATGCACACTACATGCGTGCTTGTGGTATACATATGATCTGAGTAATCTGAGTAAATGATGGATATAAACAGAACTCTAACCATAAATAAGTAAGATTTAGGAGGCAGAAACATACTAGCGACTATCTCTATATTTGAGGCAATCATTCAACATTTCAAAGACAAGTCTAAAACCATAAAGATTGCTCACAAAGTCTGCATGTCTTTCATATTTGATAAGTTTGGAAAATCTGAACTCTCACCACTTAAGTCACTAATCGCTCTGCAAAAGATCACCTCAAGATAACTATTAGGAATACAAGTCTCTTCAGCAATGATATCTCAAAAGAGAATGAAAACAATCTTTGAGAACTTAGAAGCCAAGACTCACAGGTATGACATTTTAGTTAATGCAGAAAGGCTAGGAGGAATGGGCCCCTCAAGACCACTCCCTTGCATCTCTCTGTAAGCAACACATTTGAAATGGATTTATATTTTAACTGAAGATACTTGAAGATGGCAGAGATATAAGATGCATGCTAGAAAAGATCTCTTACAACATCTCGAGCTCTTTCCAACTAAGAAAATAGTTCGGTATTTTCCCAGTGAAGTTGTTACTGCCAATCCAACTGCAGAATATTTTGAACCACCCCACCCAAAAGAAAAAAAAAAAAACGAATGTCATGAACCTGAACTCGAAACATCTTAATTATGTAAAATACAGTAAAAATCACTTACAGTGTTTTTAATTTGGTCATATTAGTGAGAGACACAGGCAACTCTCCCGTGAAAGCATACAAAGCTTGGAGAGTAACAATGTTTCCCAAATAGCTAGGGATTGGTCCTGATAAGTTGTTCACGCTGAGAACCCTGCACCATGTACATTCCATTAGTTCAATCATTGGCACGAAAACTACTAATTGACAACCTCAAACATGAGTGTAGATGCCACTTACAGAAATTTCAACTTCGTAGAAGTCCATTCGTGCAGTATGGAACCACTAAGGTAATTCTGGCCCAGATTACTATGAGCAAAGAAGAAAGAGTGCTATTAATTAGGATAAGAACCAATCCTATGTTTTTATATAGGTGTAAGAGTACCATGATTGAAACAAAGAATCTACAGGGCACTTCCAGAACAAGGCAATCAGATGCCAAAACAAAGTCCACAAGATACTTAGAAATATGGAACATATCAAATTATTCCAAAGAACAGAACTAAACCCTCTGTTTGGTCTCCTCCTAAACCAAGGAATACAAAAAATTAATAAAAATAACAATCTCAAATCCATGCTTATTGAAGAATTCATCTCAACATAACAACAATTTTAGTGATCTCATAACAACAACAACAACAAAGAATCAGCAACCATCATATTTAATTAGGAAAATGAATTTATGAATGAACCAGTGCAGCAAGAATTTAATGCATACAAATGGCAAAAATATATACATACATGCTTTGGATATGGCACACATTGCCAGGGAAGGAGCAATTGCAGAAGAGAGTGTTGTTGTACTGATCTGTATGTGGGGTTGAGAAAGTTGGAACATTGCTACACGGGTCGCTAAAATTCCAGTCCTTTTTATGCAGTTGTGCAGCTATTTCACGAAGGGCTTCAACTGCCATCACACCCACATAAAGCAAAAATCCCATCAACAAAAATCCCATCAAATGTTCCTTCTATTTTTATTTTTATTTATAATAATAATAACAAAAAAAAAAAAAACCAAAAACTACATTTAGAAAGCAGCAGCAGCAGCAGCAGCCTACCCTCATCATGTGGAAGAGTCATGTTCTGTGGTTGTGCTGTTGATGATATTGGTCCCATATTGCACATAAGCACCATGAGCACAATATTAATTTGGCTGAACAAGAAGATCATGTCCATTGGAACATTAAGAATCCTTACCATTTTTCTTCACCACCCGCACTTCACATTCCTTGAGCACTATCCAAACCCTTTATAAAATCATCCATGGAGTCTATTAAATTTCTCACTCACTTCCCAAGCAAGCGACCCTTTTTTTTCAAAGACTTGGTGAATTAACTTTGATTAATTAACCTTTAGTCCATTTAATTAATTATCCAAATTTCAAGGCCCCAACATGCATGTGCTCTGCTCATATAAATTATAATCCAAACTTGACTAGCTAGATTAATCAATTCATAAGAATTATTCATTGATTATATAATTCATTGACCTGCAGACTTCACTATTCTAAAGGCTTCTTGTGATCGACTTGGAATGTGCAAGAAGGATAACCAGTGCTGAATTAGTGCATAGGTTTAGTAAGGTCAAGGTCAACCAATCGCATCATAAACATTGCTCAGAAGATTCATAAAAAAAATGTTTAACTATCTAGTTCTTTTTTTTTTTCCCCTACCAACTGAACAGAGGAAAGCGCCAAAATCAGATTCTTGTCAGGGTCACAATGAAAAAAACATATCGAATTGTGGTTAATTTATTTTAGATTTTGATTAAATAAGTAGACGAATACTTTTTTTTCTCTTTGGTTCATACACAAAATATTAACTACAATTCTCAAAAGCGTGTGTAGGATTTGGAACTATACATCCATCATCATATAGTAAACAGATAAAGCCTAATTTTGACTATCCATGACTAGTCTAGTACATAAGGCATAATTCAAACTTCGGGATTTTCTATGAAAGGGAAATGCCATGATCTGTCTGTTTATAGCTTTGCTAGATGCATGTTATATATGTAGTTCCAACAAGAGCATGTGTGTACATGTGGTAAATGAAAATTTAAACTGCGTATAGTAGTCATCAGTCATAATTCATTATACATGAAGGATGTCTTATATGGGGTAACTGTCAAAACTTATGGTGTCAAATATATGTACAGTCTATTGTCCTAGCTTTTCTTGCAATTGTTGTTTAGTAAAGTCACACTTCGATTTTGGTACCAGTAGCTGCTTTCTGAGGCAGGGCACTCAGAAATATTGAGAATCAAGACTAACTGCGTAGACATCCTAGACAGACGATGAGGTAGAGGCTGTCCATTTTTCATTGGATGAATAAATGAGGCTTTGAGTCTCATCATAGGAGCTGTGATCAATATCAGAGTCCTCTGTGAAGGCCTTAAACCCCAATTCATCACCGTAAATACTCGGGTTTATCTTCACCTCATGAACAATAGTTTGCCCTTCAAGCATACTCACTACTGCAGACATTGTAGGTCTTAGTGCCGGTGATGGATTGGCGCATAGTAGAGCTACCTTAATCATTCTCATTGCCTCTTCCTTGTTGAACTGAGACCCCAACTTTGGATCCACCAGCTCCATCAAATTTCCTTTTTGTTGCAAAACAAGGGCCTGCAGCATTGACAACAAATGGAGAGGGTACGATATGAAATTATTTCAATAAGAAAAGCAACCTGTTTCCACTTGTACTTCTGCATGCTAAACGAATGTGATGAAGATATTACCCAATCCAGAAGGCATACAAAATTCTCATTCGGCCGATATTTGATGTTGTTTTTCCCAGATAGGAGTTCCAATGCAACAACCCCAAAACTGTAAACATCTGCTTTATCAGTTAAATAACCCCACAATGCATACTCCGGCGCCATGTATCCTCTGCACAGTAACAAATACTCCATGAGTTTCTCCTTCATAGCATTCATGTTATCTAAACTAAGAGCTCTGTCATCTGTTTCAAAACTTCATCATTCGATGAGAGAAACTAAGAGAAGCAAAAGAACAAAACAGAATCCACAATGAATGAAAGAGAAAAACAAATGAAGGGCTGCTCACATAGTGCCAGCAACTCTGGTGCTGATATGGGTCTTCTCCTCTTCGTCCAGCTTAGCCAAACCAAAGTCAGATATCTTAGGGTTGAGGTCCTCGTCAAGCAGTATATTGTTTGTTTTGATGTCTCTATGAACAATTTTCAGTGCTGACTCCTCATGCAGATAAGCCAGACCTCTTGCAATGCCAACACATATTTTCTGCCTTGTACGCCAGTCCAATTTCTTTAGGCCTTCCTCTGGACCTGAATTTAACAAAAACTACAAAGGAGATTCATGAAACTATTTATAATACAAGTGTATATTCCACTTCTAGATTGTCCAGCTTACCAAACAAAGTATGTGCAAGGCTATTGTTGGCCATGTATTCGTATACCAACAATAATTGATTTCCTTCAATGCAACATCCATACAATTTCACAAGATTTGGATGTTGTAAAGCAGAAATCATGCCTATTTCATTCACAAATTCGCGATTTCCTTGCTTTGATTTTGAAGAAAGTTGCTTAACTGCAATAATAGTGCCATCTAATAATTCGCCCTGCAATTTGAAATATAATACTTTTGAGGAATGTAGGTCATCCATAATACTCTATAAGGGTGAGAGAACAAAGCATTAAAAACAAAAACAAAAACAAATGAAAAGTTCTTACATAGGGAAACAAAAAGGAGTGGTAGAATACCTTGTAAACAGCTCCAAAGCCACCTTCCCCAAGCTTGTTTGCAGCATCAAAGTTGTTAGTTGCGGCTTTAATTTGTTTGAATCTATAGAAACCAGTTTGCAGATCGAATCCTCTGAGAACTGTTCATGTCAAAAGATTAACATAATGAACTATTTATTAACTGAAATGGACTTAGTAAAGAACTAGTGGTAGAATAAAAATTGATGTGTATGAAATTTTCTGTACCTTCTTCCCTAGATGTCTTGCCTCCGAAACAGCCTTTCAACCAAAGAATGCCGAAAGTCGCAAAAATAAGGCATAACGCCGAAACAACTCCAATCACAATGAATATCTTTGTTTTGCTATCATCAGGGGGCTTGAAATCTAGAAGTGAAATAACACCTAGAACAGTTACCACAAGAGAACTGTATATTTCTACAGTAACATATAAATAGGTAACTTATAACTTACTACTGACCAGACTGCACGGAGATAGCTGATATAAGAGACCCATATACTCCACGTTTTGGAACATTGGTCGTCCCTTTCCCAGCCCACTGAAAGCGGATTTCTAAAGTCTTAACACTAACAACTGCTTTAAATACTTTAATCACTTCCTTATCAACCCCTTGTGCTTCCTTTTTAATATCAAAATCCTTCAACACCCGTTTTTCCTGCAATAGATTACATACCCATTCAAGTAGAAAATTGATAAAGAGGGGGAGTGGTTTTGAAAAATTAGGCAAATATAAGGTCTGAGGAATTGCGGATTGCTAGTTAAGCTTCATGAGTGACAAGACATGGAAAACAGTAAAATTTATCCAAATGATTAGAAAGTAGAAGTTACAAAACAATAAGGAGCCAAAAAACACTGCAAGGGACTACCTGTATATAAACATCAAACATTCGTCTTCCAACACCGTAATAAGACCTGTTGTCTCTGAGCACTATTTCTGCAAAGTGTAGTTTCACAGTGTAATTGCCATTTGCTAAGCAACGGGCATAATATGTGAGAGAAAGAGGAGAAAGTCGTGCAGTTCTGTACAACTCAGAGTTGTTCATTCTGAGTACAGAAATATTATTTGCTATATAGTCTTTGTCAGAACTCCAAACATCTGCAAAATCACCAGTGCTACTAAATCCCCAATTCGCTGAGCCCTGAAAAAACTTTGCTGCACCTCCTGAGGCTTCATCTGCATCATACTTGATGTTTCCAACGGTGGTTTGATTTCCACCACAGTTTAGACGCAACGAATACTGATCTATAAAGGGATGAGCATAAACAAAGTATAAGAGAAAGAACTTAAACCATTAGCTTTTTATTCTACGACAAATTTAATCACCTTTTGAACATGGAGAGAGGCAATTACTAAGTATCCTACATTACCAAAAGCAGACATTAGCTTCTTAAAATTAATGATGAGAAATGAAAAGTCTTCTTATAAAATTCATTAAGTTAGAAGCATACGAATTGTTCTGCCTGGAAACACTTCTGAATACATTGCTGATGAAAACAGAAAAGAACTAGTTACCTTCACATATTCAGAAAGTAACGTATCTCTATATCAAGGATATTAGGAAAAAGAAGAAATAGAAAAACAGTTATGCTTACAAGGTTTCTCGGCAATTAGTTGGAACAGAGTTTCCAGAAAACTTATTGTAAGAAAGATCTATATTGCTGCACAAGCATGAAGTACTCTATTAATTGGAATTCCAAGAAAACTAATATCAGAATATTTTGATCAAACTTATAAATAAGAAAATTACAGAATCTGAGAAAGAGGAAATTAATCAACATTCCAGAGACAGTAAGATAGAAGATTTTTTTACCTAAATAAACAGTCAATAATACCAGATATCATACACGTGACCCGATAAATTTTGTTAGTTTACTACTATTCCCAAAAGTTTAAGCTGTTAGGATGTGGAAAAAAATTATTTCATATTGTAACATTTTCCCTCACTAGACCCCAACATGTGGAATTCAACTTAAATTGGGAGGTTGCAAAGCAATTGCAGGGCTTCAAACTCAGGATCTTCTACTTTGATATCACGATAGAGTTTGTTGGTTTACCACTATTCTCAAAAATGTAAGTTGTTAAGACAGGGACAACTATTATTATATGTGTTATCACAGTATTCGTCGACACCTCAGAGCACACTAAAAATAGGGAAAGTTACTGCATAAATGTAGGTATGCACGTGCATTTTCTGCAAAAGGATTTATGATTCGAGTAAATGAAAAAAAAAAAAAGAAGAAAATATAATAAGCTTTTAGGATGAAAAAACATACTAGCGACTGTCTCTATTTTTTATCCACTCTGGAAGCCCAGTAAGCAAGTTGCTTGTCAGATATCTGATCAGTGAGCAAAATAAACAGATGTTAATGAACATTTATCAACATAAATATTGGTTCAAAAGGTTAACACAGAAAGAAGAGAAATCTAAAGTTCTTAGAGGCCCATCCTTCCTTGGTAT